AAAAAAAGCAAAGTCAACAATAAAGAATCTATAGCCAAACAAGATGAAGGATATTGACTTCCTAAGTCTTTCTAGGGACTCTTTGCCCAAAGTTAAACAAATCCTACCTTCATGATATAATCTCATGACTGCTGTTACAGCTTGTATCTCAGTGTCCCCCCAAAGCCGAATGCGCTCATAGGTGGGAATCTGGGGAGGTCACTGGATCATGGGGGTATGATAATCAGTGGAGTAGCCCACTGATGAGTTTATAGTTAACTGATTTGGGAGGTGGAACCTACTGGAAGGGGAAGGCTCAGTGGGGGGTGGCCTGGAAGGCCCATCTCTTTCCTTCCTCCCGTGATGGCCCTGCTTCCTGCCTGCCATGCCATGAGCTGTTTCTCTTCCACAATGCTGCCCTGCCTTGGAGTCAGCTGACAATGCACTGAAAATTTTACACACTGAGCCAAAATAAACCACTCCTCCTTTAACTTGTGGGTTTCAGGTATTTCATCCCAGCCAAAAGAAAGTAACCCTAAGGGGGCTGGGAACTTAGCTCAGTGGTGCTGTTGCCTGCCTTGCAAGCGCAAGGTCCTGAGTTTGATTCCTGGTACCACAAAAAAAAAAAAAAAAAAAGAAGTAACTAACTAAGATGATTGGCCCCAATGAACAGCATTTTTACTTGTTTATGTATTATTTTCAATAGAATCATAAAACCCAAGGGAAACACAAGCCAGGAAGATCTGTGGCTAAGACTAGAATCTGTCTAGAGTCTTAGCATTAGACATAGTCTAAACCAGTTTTTTTTCATGGATCTCAGTTTATCAAAATGAATTAAACGTGATATTTGTCAAATCACATTCTTACGATTGGACTATACTCACCCTTGTTTCATCTTATGATCACATTGAGTCACTTATTCTTTTTAAAGATGATCTGTAATAAAAAGGCCAACCAAAAATAAAAATGTACACTATTATTACGTAACCTGATCTACACAGACCTTCAACCTTAAACAATGATTAAAGATGACAAGATGCATCTGTTCTGTAGGTGCAGAGCAGATACAAAAGAGAAATTAAGTATCCTCATCACTGGGATGTGCTCTGCTTTCATTCACTTAGTTTACCATTCATTTGTTTAACTGGCTTTTTTTCCCTTATGAATCAAACACCCAGAAAACGACACCAAATGAAGAAAAAAACATTAATTATCGAATATACCCAGCTGCTTGTTGCACCAAATGCTAACAACTTTAACCTGCTTTTCCTTCCCAGTAGACTCAGACATTTCTGAACTGAATTCAGAGAATTCCTTGCTTTCTTGTTTGGACCTCTTTTCCTTATGAATATATGTTTATCAGTCCATTCATTAATTATTCATCATATAAAATCAATTTCTATGAACTCTAGAAATAGATCTTTGAACCCTCCTGAAATCATTCCCATCAAAGTTAGCCACAAATTCTTTGTTGCAATGGACCTCAATTCTCAAAAGATGATTGACTGTCATTTTCACTCAGATACGCTCCACTTGCATCACAGATCCAGAGGAGGGCCTCCTGCATCTAATCTGAACAACACACAGACGTCTCAGTCAGCAGCCAGGAGCCCACTGTCCCTCAACCATGGGGGTTCTGACTCTCTAAAGGACTGACAGCCCAGATCCTTATCGGCAGAAGAATGTTTAAATAAATAATCAAGAAAAAAATCTTCACTTCTCAAATTTAATGAAAAAGCTGAATTTTTCGCCTCATACTTCATTTATATTAAATTGGATTAATTTTAGCTCATAACACATTCTCATCCCAAGCCTATATGTGGGCTCCTGAAATTTAATTATCTTTTGTAATGACAGTGGAGACCATGAGCTAACGATCCAAACCAAGAACTTTATTACTTACAATACAAGGTATTCTCCTTACCCAGAGGGACAAGGCAAAGATCTTCATGATTGGAGAATAATTTAATCAGCTATGGTGCACGGATCCTGAGGAATATAAAGAGGACATTAACAAATGAAAAGCCCAGATCTGGGCTTAATTTAGTGAACATGAACTACCCATCCCAGAAATTAATTATAAACAATGATTTATGCCACATTCTTATCTCTGGCTCATGGAAAGGGGCCTGCATTTTATTACTTAATGTATGCAGTTATCCATTTTAATAGCACTGTGAACACCCTGAAAGGAGCCACCCAGCATGAGAACAGTGAGTGTTATGAGCCCCTGACGCCATGTCCCCACCTAAGCTGAGTGCACAGAACTTCTGCCAAACAGCTCCTGCTGGGCGAATCTCACGCTGGGCCTCTCAGGCCTCCAGTGAGCATAGCCCATGCTCAGATCCTACCCTGAGTGCCCTAAACAGACCAGCCCCGAGAGACAGAAGCATGGGTTATTACACTGATCCACAAAAGACTTCATCACAGTGGTTATTAGCTAAAGTGTGTGGAGTTAAAATTAGTTAAAGTGTGTGCAGCTAAATTCTGTGGAGTTGAAAGGAGATGACGAGAGAGGAGAGAGAGAGAGAGAATATAAATCCTTCATGACTTTAAAAAATTTTAAACATATATCCAAGAGTACCTCTTCAAAAAAGGGAGGAGATCCGAGTTCGATCCACAGTAACAAAAAAAAAAAGAAAAAGGAGGGGAATCTGGGGGAGTAAGCTAAAGTCCTCCATTGACCCATATTTTCCCCTTAGTTTACTCAATTGGGTGTGGATGAATTCATGAAATTATTTATTCTGGGTTCTCTGAGTAAACTTAAGCTCACCTGTCTAGATCAGGAGACTGTTACTGTTCTTTGTCTACATGACCTTTACCCGAGCAGGGAACGTCCCTAATTGATTAATTTGTTAATGAACCTGAGTGCTCCAGGATGCTATTAAAATAATATAATTCCATAGTTATATGAAGGCAGTCATCCTGATCTTAACCCTTGGTGTGTAACATGTTTTCATCCCTGATTCTCTTCAATGCTGTGTATGTGTGGAGACATTTATCCAGCTTTTTAATGACACAAAGAATACCTAGGAACAAACCACCCAACCCAAGGACAAAATCTCTGTGCATTACTTACATGGGTCTCTCTGCTTTGTAGCCAAGGGCTCACAAGCCAAGATGTTAGTCACCAGGGTCCAGTCTGGAGAGTACAAAGCGTTCAAAGGAATAATCCAACAGACTGCATTTTCACTTTCACAGTCTAGTGACTGCAAGGTAAGTGGATTTACATGAATTGTAAATTTTCAGTCATACCCATTTGCAGCTGGCCAAAAAGCAGCCCCCGCTTTTTTGTCGAACTTACCCAGTTATCAGTTTTGCATTAAAAGTGGGACACATTTGAATCCACTCATCTCAATCACAACCAAGCAGAGTCTGAATCCTCCAGCTCCAACCCCTCCACCATACACACAACCACTTAGCTCTCTCGACCCTGCATGTGCAGAACTGCATTCATCTCAATGATTGCTTCAAAGAAATTTTGTGCCAATGAACAATATCTCGTCCTATTGTTTTATTCATCCATGGATGAAATAATTTGGCCATCAATTTATGCTTTTTTAGTATATGTGCTGCCGAAGCGAGCACAATTTATGCTTTTTGAAGAGGTAAAATGATGTTTAAACTCCGAGAAACCTGAGACATGAATGATTGTGCATAAATCTCTGCATTCTTATCAAAAACCTTGTAAGAGCCAAAATTTTGTCTGAAAAAGAAAATAATCTCAGGAACTGGTTAAATCAGAAACATTACTTCAACACATGCTCATTATCCCCCATATTGTCTTCCTTTTAGCTTTCTGATTATTACACTTACTCATTTGTGCACTGTGAAGGTAAAAATCAGGGTCTTTTACATACGGAAGACAATAGCACAGACAATGGTACCGCATGTACAGCGCTTCTTACTGAGGTGATAACAGACAATGTCACTTTGTAAGGAAATTTAGTGAGCATAATCATTCTTGTTATCTAACAAATTTTTGTCACTGACCACCTTTAATTTCAATAATGTTTAGTCTTTTATCATGTAAATGACTTCCCTATTTAGTAATAACATAACCAGCCAACCAAAGACAACCAAAATATGAACAGTGAGGATTCACACACCTGTCTACATGTTCCTCATTCTGAGAAATTAAAAACAACAAAAACACAAATGTCAACTCATGAAAATCAGATTACTCTAACAACTTGTCTCTTTAAATGTGTTATGGTTGGGCCGGGCATGGTCATGTTCTTATTCACTTAATCCTGTTTCTTGAGCTCTTTAGGTACTAAGTCCCTTGTAATAATATAATCATCCATAAACCATACAAGTACAAGAATAGGTAAGTGGGTATTTTACAACTGGCTACAGAGGTTGTTTCCGACAGAATAATAGCCTAGGTTTCTTTTGTGCTACAGCTGTACCTTCCTGAAATACAGCCTTGCTCACCCCGACTCACAGCCAACCCTCATTACCACTCACCCACGATGATGAACCTTTCTCTTCAGTAATACTTTGTTTGCTATTTATTCATTAATTCACTGCTTCATACTAAAACAATATATATCATTTGGGGCAAAAACAAAACAAGACCTATGATATTCCTGACATCTTTCTGTAGATCATTTGCCACCAGAATTTGATCTGTTTTTCGATCTCAATGTTTACCAGGTATTACTCATCATGATGTTTCATATTAAGTCCAGGTTCATGGGGGGCCATAGTTAGCCTCTTTGATTATATTTCCTACCTGTTCGCAACATCCAAGTGTTGTGGTTGCGATTGAGATGTGGCTCCACAGCCTCATGAGTGGGGTTTGGGGAAGGTGCTTGGATCGTGGGGGTGGGATGCTCATCAGTGGATTAGTCCACTGATTATAGCTGACTTCCTGTGGGGAGGTGGGATCTGGTAGGCCAATGGAGACATGGCCTGGAAGGGTCTGGCTCTTCCCTGCTCCTCACTTCCCTCTCTCTTGTGCTTCCCCACCACCATACAGTCCCTCCTCTGTTATGTGTCTCTGCCATGCCGCTCTGCCTTGGAGCCAGCTGACTGTGGACTGAAACCTCTACAACCTCGAGCCAAAATAAATCTCTCCTCCTTTAAGTTGCAGGTGTTGGGTATTTTGTCCAAGCAACAAGGAAAGTGACTAAGACAACTGGAAACTCGTAAATGGCCCGAACCAAAACAAGAACCGTGACAAGTCCTCACCAACAACCATGGCACAGTGCCTCAGTGGCAGTGCCCATTCTGACGTGCACAAGAGAGTGGAGATAGAACCTGAGTTTTGAGTCCCCCGCCCCACCTTTCCTTCAATTAAGTCAGTTAGTGTTCATTTATGATAATAATTGCATATTTTTCTTATGGGAAAAAGTGTTGAACTTACAATGGATCCACAGCAGTAACACTGATTATTACTTAACAACAGTGTTTACCAGTGTGACTCTTAGCCAAGAAGTAAAGGTGTTGGTCCACGTAGGACCCATTCCAAATTATTCTAACAGTATTTCTTCCTTCGCCACATAAGTTAATAAATAGAATGGAACTTACTCTGTTCATCTTTAATCACATTAACATTTTGTTAACTGATTTTCACTGATTCATTTATAGTGAAATAATCATAATCTAAGCACAAGATCTTCCGCTATCGCTAATATCGACCCACATCGCTACAGACATGAACTATTTATGATCCATGATGTCACCACCACCATGGCCTTGGGATTGGGCCACATTTTCTTCACTCATATTTACAGGTTTCTATTGATTAATTCAGCAGTTCAATAAAACATTTACCTAAGAGTCACACAAACTCAAGAGTAAGATCCTAAATTGCCAGAGCTCTAATATCTTTCTATATAATTATTGCTCTCACAGCAATAAAATTATCTTCATGTTGTACATATGAGTTAATCAGAATGCTGCACTATATTAATCCAAGTTTTACAGATGGGTCAGCATTTTCCCTCAATGATTATATTTCATACTTTTTAAATAATACTGTGACACTTTAAAAAAAAACAGTGGCAGCGAGAAAAGAGCTCTGGCTATTGTTACTCACATGGGCTTCCTTGCTTGTGATGCATAAACACACACCTAGATCTGGCCACAGAAGAGTCTCACAAGAGAGTGTTCATTCTTAGGAATACACACAAAAGATGATTAAAAAAGAAAAAAAGATTGAAGCATTATCCACATTGATCTTCACATTGTATCTTTCATTTGATCATCAGTTAGGTCATTTGAAATGCCATTTATTTTATTTTCTCTCACATAAACAAATAGTACCTGTCATGGCATGGACACAAAACACGATGACTGATATTTTAACAAACAGACATATATATGAAGTGTGAGCAACAAATATAGCTCAATGCTTAAATTTAAAAAATGTATTACAGTAAAAGATGTATTATCATGAAATCCTTCAAAATACTTCCCCTCAATTTGTACACACCTAGTCCATCATTCTTGCCCCATTCTGGAGCATTCTAGATGTCTTCTTCATTTGGGAGTATCTTTAGTTGCATTGTCATGAATGTATGAATGTCCTGAATTGAAATGTATATCTTCCGTGGTCATTTTGACTTTGGGAAAAACCCAGAAATCCTTCAGCACCTGATCCCGTCAACAAAGTGGAAGAGGACTCACTGTCATGTTTTCGTGATCCTGCCTTTCTGTCGATGGCCCTAGGCATCAGTATTCATTGTATTTTTTATTACACCTTGTGAACACACTCACAAAAGAGGACTTTCAGAATGGCTTCAGAATGTAGCAAGAATGACGGGATATCCTGAATTCAATCCCCAGTACCAAAAAAAAAAAAAAAAAATGACGGGATAAGTGAGTGTGAAGTGAGGGGGAGGATTTTCAGGGGATTAATAGCAATGTGTCTTTTATTATAATAATTTTTAAAATGTAAACATTCACCATATATTTTGATCACCCCTCATGCATTCTCAACTGAATATTTCATCCCCACTTGATCACTGCGATACAGTGGCCACTGCTGATTATACTGTGCACTTTTTATTAATACATTGAATATTCTGCATACCACCCAAACCAAGACCAGAAGGCTGACTGCACTCACACAGGTCCACATGCCCAGTGGGCAGACAGAGCACTGACCATGGAAGAGTCCTTCAACTCACCCAATACGTCCATTCTAAGTAGCAGAGAGCAGAGAAGATAGCAACAGAATTGAGACCTTGGCACTACTGAGCTCCGATTTTCACCTATGTCTACCTAGTCATTTTGATAGTCATTCTTGGGAATACATCAATTTCATTTTCTTTTTAGAAAATAAATAATTGTAAATTTGTCATTGGCCTGGAAGTAATCATCTGCAATTTACATTGTCTCTACTGTCAATAACCAGAGAGGTTACAGGTACATAACATTTACTTCTCTTTGTAGATCACTGTCTTCTTCAGATATCAGTGTAATTCTTGCCTTTCCACATATCTTTAGAATGGACAATTACCAGGCAATCATTATATATATATTTGTTTATTGATTTTCGCACTGACTGGGTTGGTCTTCTTTTTCTCCAATACTTTTTATACTGTCTGTTGATTCATTCCTTAATTTACTAATTATAATCCCTATGACTCACAAAATCTAAAAAGAACTTCTGCTATTCTTCATCTACATATGGAATCATTCTAACATTGATACATCTGGTTCATTAAAGACATTCAGTTTTTCATACACACATTATCGGTAGAATACTTCACATCGCTCCCACACATATCACTGGGAAACAGTTCACCATCACTGATTATAGTATGTATTTTTTTGTAACTCATTAAGTACTTGTACTCAAACCACTGACACCAAAATAAGGATAACTATTACCCACAGGAGTCTTCACACAGAGCACCTGGCCACGGAGGAGTCCACCAATCTTAAAAAGTATGGCCATTCGGAGGAGTACACAGCAGAAAGGTGATAACAAAATTAAGGCCTTCACAATACCACAGTATTTTTAAAATTGGACAATGCTTTATACATTTTATTTCTATTTATTTATATATTTGTTTATTGATTCTCACTTTGACCCAATTATAAAAACAGAATGAAAATATGTAATCACAAGTAACAACAAAAACATCTTGCTACAAGATCATTTAAAACAAAGAGAAAAGATCAGATTTCTACGATGATGGACCTCAGAGTTCCAGACATGTACTCATCGTCTGACTCATGTCACCATGGTCATCATCGATTCAGGATTGGCCCTCTCCTTTTCCAATCATTTTTATATTTTTCTCATAATTAATTCATTTACATACTACTAAAAATTGAAGACCTATTATTCAAAAAGTCCCAGAAAAGCCTTGCTATTCTTAATTTGTATACGGAGGCATTCTAAAACCGATACAGCTATTTAATTGTACTCAGTGCTGCCTAAGTAATGGAATGCTTCACATTACTCTCCTGTGTTTCACTGGGATAGAGCAGCCGACTTTGAGGATGTCATACACTTCTTAATAATACATTTGAATCCCCTTAAGCAAACTCCCCAAACCAAAGCAAAGATGCTGAGTATACTCACGTAGTCGCCCCCTTCTCCGGGGAGCACGTGAGCAGAGAAGAATCCTCAAATCAGTGAAATTCATCCAGTCTAAGAATACAGAGCAGAAAAAATGATAATGAAATTCAGACATTTGCACTCTTGACCCCTGATTATTGCCTTCATTTAGTCAGTAATTTAAGAGTATACTTATTTCATTATCTCTTAGATGAATAATTTCAAACTTGGTAAGGAACCAGAACATGAACGTTGCCTATAATTTATCTTGTCAATATCATAATGAGCCAAAGAGACAGCAGATATGTATGACTCCACTTTGACCTATATAGAATTTCTTCCCCACGTATTTTTATAATTGAACCACACTTAATATTATTAATCTCTATCTATTTATTTACTTGTTTATTGGTTCTTATATTGATCCAATTATAAGAATAGGATGAAAAATGCAGGAAAACAAAGGCCAGAACAAATCTACCTGTACTGTTGACATCTATCAATACAAAAGCAAAACAGTGAAATTTGACTTTTGTAAGGGACCTCAGAGTGGGCCAGGGATTTAGCTCAGTGGTTTCACCACCACCTGCTGTGCAGGCACAAAGACCTGAGTTCGATCCCCAGGACAAAATAAGAAAAGGACCTCAGAGTTCCAGAGTCATATTCATTGTTTACCACTTGTACACCACCAGTGGTCATCATAGATCCCGGGCATGTTCTCTTCTCTCTATTCATTTCCACAATTTGTGATTGGCTTATTTCACTAGCAATCTGAAATGCTATTATTCCCAAGCCCATGAAGAGTGCTGACTTTCCTAGTCTGTGTATGGGAGGGTTCTAGCATGGATGTATCTGCTTCACTCATCGGCCTTGCCTCCATGCATCCATTCTCAACACAACACTTCACATCCGTCCCTGTATCTATCCTGGGGATAGAGCTGATCCTCTCTGATGATATCATATGCAGTCTACATTTCATTAAGTGACTGAAGAAGCTCCACCCAAGCCTGGACAAGGAGGCTCATTACTCATGCAGGTCCACATACGCTTCCTGGCAGGTGCAGAGCACCCAACTCTGGAGAAATCTCTAATGTAAACACCATGTCCACTCTGAGGAGAGAGCACAGGAGATGACAACAAAACCTCGTCACTACTCATTCTTGATTTTCACTTATTATTAGTCATTTAGTCAGTAGTTTTTAGAGTACGTTTACCTCATTATCTTTCAGGAAGATGAGTAATCTTCATGTATCTTTCACCAAGAATATGGATACTGTCTGTAATTCATTCCATCTATATCACCACTAGAGGGATCAACCCAGTGACAGTCATCCATTCTTAGAAATAAAAAGCAGAAATGAACAAACTTGTGACATTCTGATCATTGGCCCTGATTTCCCCCCTCCCTTATCTAGCCACTAATTTAGGCAATGATTTATACAAAATTATATTTCATTTTCTTTTAAGATGAAAAATTTCAACCAGGCACATGAGCAAGAACATGATATTGTCTATAATTTGCATTGTCTTCTATCATTAGCCAAAGAGATGACACACAGGTACAATTTGGCTTTGAACAAAACTGATTTCAATATGTACAAATAGTATTTTTTGCCTCACAATATATTTTTATAATTAGACAATACTTACTTTTACTCATTGGCATATATGCTATTGAGGCATTCTAAAAAGTGAATGAAAATTCGTGAATACACAGACTAAAAACAAATCCAACATTGCTGTCATACTAATAGCATTTGCAACAGAATTTGACCTTTGTTAAATACTTCAGACTTTCAGGAAAAAATATTCATTTATAATTCATAAGCCAGAAGTGGTCATCACTGATGCAGGGTTGGTTATCCACTTCCACAATATATGTTAATTAATTCATTATTTCACTAAAAATTGTAACACCATTGTTTGTAAAACTCACCAAGCCCTGACATTCCAGATCTGTATATAGAATTGTTTGAACATTGATGCCTGTTTCACTAATTAACCTTGGGTTTTCACATATACATTATCGATCAAATAGTTCACATAGCTCTCCTATCACTGCCATTAGTTGGCCACCATCAATTATATTATACACTTTTAATGCTACATTAAATAATCTTGAACACACCACCTACGCCGAGACAAGAGGGCTGGCTGCTGCTCACACTGCCACCTGCCCCTGAGCATGGGGGTCCTCCCACCCCCCCAGCACAGCACGTCCACTCTGTGTGGAGAATAAAGACGCCCACAAAACTGCCACCTTCCCCATCTTGGCCCTTGCTTTTTACCTCTCATTAGTTGGTAGGCAGTCATTTCTCAGAGAATATCTACTTCATCATCTCTTGAGAAAATGGATAATATTGACCTGCCTCTTGAACACTGTCTGCAATCTACACCACTGGAAGCATCATTTGACAAAGAACTGAGAGGCCTATATGATTTTTTTAAGCTTCAGTCTTCACTATTTTCTATATCTATATTAATATATTTTGTTCCTCAACACATGTTTTTAAGACTGGAGACTATTTTATTCTTCATATCTACTTAAATATACATTTCTTTATTAAGCCTTGCATTGGTTAAATTATAAAAATAGAGTGAAAATACATAACCAAACCGAAACAAATACTTTGCCATTTTAAAAGTCTGTCTGTAGGGTTATTGGAAACAAAAGGAATGGGTCAGATTTCTTTGATGATGGACGTCAGCGCTACAGAAATACACCCTTTGTATCTGACTCCCGTACGACTGGTGGTCATTATCAATGCCATTCTGTGTGTTGATTGACTCATCAATTCTTTAGTAATAATTTTACCCATTGTGACTCATAAAATTCCAATAACATAGTTAATATACCCAAACCACATGCAGAATCATTCTAAAATTGCAATATTAGTTTGATTAAATATAGTTGGGTTTTCATTACATGCAATATAAATAAAATACTTCATACAGGTACTTGGTCTTTCACTGCCCATCTTTATCAATAGCATACAAAACCGTTCAAGACAAGCCAAGAACTTTGGGTATTACCCAGATGAGTCAGCGCACTCCCAACCAAGATGCTAATGGAGCTCTTCAGCACAATCGATGCATCAGAACAAGTCCGTTCTTCCTGGGAAATTCAGAGCAGAGGAGGTGATAACAAGATGAACGCATTCTCACTAATGACCCTTGCTTTCACCTTTGCTTTGCCCATGAAGCAATTATATCTGCAGTATATTGATTTTGTTTTCTCTTAAGTAAATGGACAATTTCAACCATGCCTCTGAAGCAGAACATGAGTATGACCTATAACACATAATGGCTATGCCATCATTACCCATGGAGGTAACAGGCATGTAAGATATTTCTTTGGACTACATCAGTTTCAGTATTCACGATATTTCTTACTTCTCTGCTTATTTTAATAGTTGGATAATGTTTAATTTTATTTATCTCTATATATTTGTTCACTGATTCTCAAATTGAAAAAAAAATGCATGAACCCAAAGACCAAGAACAACTTCCTTCTGGGTTTCTGACAGACGTGAACAGAACCATTTGAAACAACAAAATTTGACTTTTTTTATGAACTCAAGAGTTCTAGACATAGGTTCATCGTTTACTCATATCCCAGCAAAAGTCATCACTAACACAGGGCCGATTCTGCTTATCTCTGTTCATATCTATTAAGTTTGCTAATAACTTCATTATTCCACTAATAATTTCAAACACTGTAGTTCACAGCCTTGATATCCCTAATCTGCACAGAGAATCATGCTTAACATGGATGTATCTCTGTATTAATTATCCTCAGCTGTTTGCTTATGCACTGTCAAAGGCACACTTCATGTAAGCTCTCTATCTGTCATAGGGACACAACGACCATCACTGATTACACGATACACTTTGTAGTAGCACACTGAACGCTCTGAAGCAGCCAACACAAGCCGAAAGAAGAATAGTGACCACTACTTACACTGCTCTCACTGCTCCTTGCCCGAAGGTCCAGACAGGGCACCTGACCCCGGGAGTTCCTCCTCGAGCCCCACAACACATCTGCTCTGAGGAGCAGAGAGCACAAAGGATGACAACAGAACTGAGACCCTCTCACTGTCCAGCCCTAATTTTCACCTATCATTAATCAGTCGGGCAATCATTCCACGTAGAATATTTCTTTTATTTTCATTAACGAAAATGAACAGTTTTGACCTGCCTATCACAGAGTTGTCTATTGTTTGTATTATTTATAACATCATTAGCCAAAGAGGTGGCAAGCACGGGCCGTTTATTTCTACTGCGATATCAATGTTTTTAATATATTTCAATACTGATCGTTGCCACACGGCTACACATTTGTATTTGAATTGATCAATGTTTCACCCATTGATCTCTATTTAATTATATATTTGTTTATTGATTCTTGCATTGACCTGATTATGAAGATACAATGAAAATACGTAACCACAGCAAAGAATGAAGACATTCTTATAATTCTAAAATCTGTTCACGAGATCATGTGAAACAGGGGAAACTGGTTAGATTTCTTTGAGGTTGGACCCCAGAGTTCTAGCACATATTCATTGCCTCTGACTCATACGGCACCAGTGGTCAGCATCGACCCAGGATTGCTCCTTTTTCTCCAATTATTCCTACTTTGTCTACTAATTAATTCCTTGATACACTAATTATAATTATAAGCCCTGTAATTCACAAACGCTGAAGAGCCTTGCTGTTCCCAAGCTGGATATAAATCACTCTAACATTGATAAATCTATTTCATTAATTGTCCTAGTTTTTCTTATATGCATTATCAGTTCAATACCTCCTCTTACCCCCACATTTATCACAGGGATCGAGTTGACCGTCACTAATCGTATTGTACACTTTTCAGCAATACAGTGAATACTCTGAAGCAAACCCTCAAACCGAGAGCAGAAGGCTGACTACACTCACACTAGTCCACATGCCCATCCCAGCAGGCAGACGGAGCACCTGACTGGGAGGCGTCCTCCAGTCCATACAATCTGTCCATTCTGAGGCATAGAGAGCAGAGAAGATGGTAACAGAATTGAGACCTTCTCACCCTTGATCCCTGATTTGCCCCTACCATTGGTCAGTCACTTAGGCAATCATTATTTTGAGTTTTCTTTTCTGTCAGGAAAATGAATGGCTGGGCATGGTGGCAGACACCTGTAATCCTAGCACTTGGGAGACGGGGGCAGGAGGATCACCACGAGTTCGAGGGCAGCATGAACTACAAAGTGAGACCCTGTCTCAAAAAACAAACAAACAAAAAATTTCAAAAAGAAAATGAACAATTCTAAACTTGCCAGTGAACCACACCATGAATATTGTGTGTAATTATTGGGCAAAATGATAACAACTATGTACTGTTTACTTCTCCTTCTTGATTATTATTCATTATTTTCAACATATATTAATAGTATTTCTTGCTTCACCACATTTTCATAATCAAAGTTTTACATATTCCATATTTATAGATAATGCTTTGATTATTGTATATTAATATGTGGATTCATTCATTGCGTTAATTATATGTGAAATGAAAATTGATGAACTAAAGTTCAACAGCAAATATATTCTATACCCTACAACTATCTACAGGAGCCCCGACCGAAGGCTGGATATTTTAGGGGCTGGACCTCAGAGCTCCAGACACATGCTCATTGTCTCTGACGCATACACCAGAAGTGGTCAGTTTCCAACCAGGATGGGTCCTCTTTTTCTTCCATTCACTTCTATATTACTTAGTAATACAGTGGACCCTTGACTTACGAACTCTATCAGTTCCCGAAGGTTGGCTGTAACTAAGTCAGTACAGCTGAGATCTGGACATTTACCTGGGTACCCGCTAGAGATAACAAGAGGCAGGTGAATCTTCCATTAACCTAAATAACCCAAGTTGTCTTTATGTCAGGCCAGTCATAACTTGAGGGTCCACTATAATTTTTAGTCCTTAATGAAATATACCCTCATATATGCATTATTAATATACTGCTTCAAATCACTACCATATCTATCACTAGAGGATAGTGGACCATCTTTGATTATATGATACATTTTTAGTAATACATATATATACATTATGAAAAATGATTAAATACCTGCATGATTAAGTTGATGGCACATGAAAAGCAAGAATGATAAGGATAAGTGTTCCATTTATTTCTAGTCTCTGTTGTTTTGTACTCAATAGAATGGACACATTGGAGCTCATGGAAGCCTTGCTCCATGGTCACTTGGATTTTGATTGCGGCAAAAGTCTACGTGTTAGCAGCAGAAGGACCAAGGTACGTAATAGACAAAATTCTTGGTGTAGCTTGCACGATTGCTTTCTATGTGTCATTTACTTAATCAAGCAAAAACTTAATCATTTTACATAAGTAAATATAGTTTTTCTTAACAAAAAGTAATTCAAACTTGGAACTGACCCAGAATAATGAAATTGACCCCTACCTATCAGTGTCTCTGATCCTGAGCCAAAGAAGTGGTGTCCTTGATCTTATTTTATTCTTAATGGACATCAGTGTTCTCGGGTTTTATTAATAAGCTTCCTTATATCAACACATATCCTCATAGTTGAACAATGTTTACCCTTCTTTCTCATCATTCTCACCCACACTCCTTTATCAATTTAATATCTAAATAAGGAGATCTGTAAAGCCCAGGTGCAGTGGTCTGTGCTTGTAGCCCCAGCCACTTGGGAAGCTGAGGAGAGTGGATCATTTGAGCCCAGGAGTTGGAGACCAGCCTGGGCAGCATAGCATTGCAAGGTCCCATGGAAGAAAGAGAAGACACATAAAACACACACGAAGAGCCTAAATCTTTTTCACTGACTGAACTCTGTGTCTTGGTTATATACAAATCAAAGTAGTATTTCCTGGTGATACAGTAAACATTGGCACAGGTGGGATTTGAATCACTAAAACCAAGACATGAACATTACTCGCGCTGGTCTCTCTGCTCCTGGGACTCTGAGGATATTGTGACCAGAGATGGAAAATCCTTAAATCGGCCTAAGTCTGTCTTCTCTGAGTACAGAGCAGAGCAGATACTGACCTATACATTCCTCCATCTACTCATGAAGTCATTCAGGTATTTATGCATGGTTGATAACATTTATTTATTTTTATTTTAACAAATCAAACAGCAAATATGCAAGTAGTCAAATTGAACATTATCTGTCACTTCCTCTTACTATACTTAGGCAAAGACAAAGTAGACATGATGAAATACACTTGCTGCATTGTTATTCATTCCATTTTAGGGTTCTATTATTTTCCTTATTACATATTTTAACAATAAACATATTCTCCAATTCTTTCTTCATTATATATTTATTTAATCTATCATTTATTCCCTATGAGTTTTAATAATTCACAAACACAACAGCCAAAATCACGATCCTTGTATCATTGGGACATTAATTTTTTGGATGGTGTGAATAGCAGCAACGGGCTGCACACTCACCTTAGCTGTCATGCTCCTAACTCTCAGATACAGCTGCAGCCCTCACGCTCCAGGAGGCACATTCTGAAGAGCACAAACCAGAGCACGCGATAACAAAATTAATACTACCTGCCATGGACCTTTCTTTTGCCCTTTCATTTAGTCAGTGTCTTAGGCAGTCGTTATTTAGAATATATTTTCTCTTAAGAAAGTCAACAATGTTGAAACTGCCAGTGATTCAGAACATGATCTTTTCATTCACTCTGTGTCATGCATGAGAACAAAGACCAAAATCTAGGTCCTTCTGCGTGCCTGACATCTCTCTACACGACCCTCCCTAATGCGTGCGTTGGCCCTCAGAGTCTCAGACATGTGGTAGTCATCATCTTAACTCAGACACCACCAGTCCTCATCACTGGCCCAGGAATGGCCCACTTCTCCATTTATTTCCACCTAGAATATTGCTTAATTCAGAAAGTAACTTAAATAACTTTAAGCATTGTGATTCATATAACCCTAAGAAGAGCTTTAAAATTCCTAAAATAGGCCAGGGCTTTTAGCTCAGTGGTTCTGCTACCTGCCTCAAAAAGCGCAAGGACCCGAGTTCGATCCCTGGTACCCCCCAAAAAATTAAATTAAATTTAAAAATCCCTAAAATAATATAGGCTCATCCTCTGATTCATATCTCCTATACTAAATATCTTCGCAATAAGATACTTTGTGTCAATTCCAGGTTGATCCATGGACTCTATCGGCCTTCTTTGATTACACTGCACAATTTTTAACACTACAGTGAATATCCTTAAGTTAATCAGTGCAAGAACATTGAGTATTACTCACATGAGATTCTGAGTAACCGTAGAATAGGAGCCCTTGGAAGAATGTTGAAATCGTCCTGAGTCCATTCGGAGTTGTCCAGAGCAAAGCTGTTGATCAAAAAATTGAGACTTTATGTCCATTGCTCCCTACATGACATCTTTCCTTTTCTCGGTGATTTAGGTATTTATTAATTCAGTGTATCATAGACAACTTCAAGAACATGAACTAGAACAAAATGAATGGCTTCAAATTTGCCACTGACACAGAACATTATCTGCAATTGATCCTGTCCGCGTCATCATTAGCCAAAGAGGGACGGCCAAGTGTCATTAATTCCTCATTGGCTTTGGTGTTTCCAACACATATTAGTCCTATTTCCTGCCTCATCACACATTGTTTCATTCGTTTTATCTTCATTCATCTACTTGTATAAACCTGTTCACTGATCCGATCGTACGGACAGAATCAAAGCACACGAGTCTTTCCTTTTGGCCTCAGAGTTTCAGACACATGTCATTCATCATCCGTGACTCACTCATGCACCGGAAGTCATTAATATTGGCCAGGGAAGGCCACTTTTCCTTGCTTCACTTTGAAACAACTTCTTGATTAATTAATTAAATTATCATTGAAAAACATTATGATTCACAAAATCCAAGAGGCCTAAAATGCCCAATATGCATCTAGAATCACTCTTGCTTCAATAGATCTCTTTCATCACTCATCACTAGCATTTCATTTGTACAATAAAGAATATAATATTTTACATTAACACCTTTGTCACTAGGCTATGGTTCACCTTCTTTGATTATATTTCACTCTTCTAATAACACAGAAAATACAGTAGTCTCCCTAGTCTACGATTTCATTTTTCGCAGTTTCACTTAGCTACAACCATTGTCTGGAAATATTAAATGGAAAATTTAGAAAAAACAGTAAGTCTTTCAATGACTTCTACTACAGTATATTGCTACAGTTATTCTTTTTTATTATTGTTGTTAATCTGTAACAGTCCTAATTTATAACTTTCTTATAAGTATATATATTATCTACCTTCGTGCTCTTTAAATTATTTTACTTTGGGTTTCTCATAAGCAAGACATCATGAGGTATTTAAATTTCTGTGTCTGGTTTGTGTCACTGAATTCATTTAATACTTTTTAATAACATACTAAAAGCCTTTCAGAAGTGAACCAGCAAAGGCATGAACTTTGTCCCAAGGTCTGACGCTGAGCTGCAACAAGACAAGTGACCGGGAAGGGGAGCGTCAGCCACCCCGCCTGTGCCCACGCTGTGGAGCCCACAGCCCAGTGGAGGGTGACACAGGACACGAGCCTCCTCTGCTGACCTTCCCTGTCACCTGTCACTCAGTCATTCCTGCAGGCAATCGCTACTTTCCCCTCCTCATGAAATAACACCTGTAAGCTTGCCACCAACTCACACTGCAAATACTGTCTGTGATTGCCACTGACTACAGCTTTAGCCAACAAAGCAACCACTGTGTACCACTCTTCTGTCTCTGGAGTTCTGTGCTTTTAATTATTCATTAAAGGGGTTTCTTGCCTCGGGTTGTAATTATGTAACTGGACGATGCTCACTGATTTTTTTCTGTAATGAAGATTGAACCCAGGAATGCCCCACCACTGGGCTACATCCTCAGCCCTTTTTATTTTTTGAGACAAAACCTCAATGAGCTGTCCAGATAGGACTTGAACTTGACATTCTCCTGTCTCAGCCTCCCTCGGCATTGGGGTTACATGTTGTTGTCACGAACCCAGGAATGCTTACTGATTTTTATCTCAAATCTTTGTATATTTGCTCATTGAATCATTCATTGATGCACTGTTAGGACAGCGTGAGACACACACTCACCAAGACAAGGTCTCCTTTGGGCCGGATCTCAGAGCTGCAGACGTGCATTTGTCGTCTGACTCATTTGGCCATTGGGGTCACCAGCGACCCGGGCTCGCCCCTCTGCTTCTCCTCCCATGTCTACAAGGTCTGTTGACTTGGTCGCTAATTAACTAATAAAAATTGAAAGCCCTATGACCCGCAGCACTCTCAGAATTGCTTGGATTTTCCTCATCTGTGTGAAGAACCATGTGCCATCACCGAGCTTCCTGCAGTAACGTCTCGGGCAGCTTGCGCGTGCATAATTCAGTACTCTACTGCCTCTTAGTTCCATTTTGGAATTGGGTAACTGTATTTCATTCTTTTAAATACTGCAGTAAACAGCCTCAAACAAATCACTTGAGCAGCAGGAGGATCTCTGACTGCTACTTATGTGAGTCCCAAGTTCGATTGCAGAGCAGTGACTTGAAGCTGGTAATGCTGAGGAATGCAGAGCCCCCCGGGGGCATCTGCATGGAGGAGGCAGAGCAGGGCAGTGGGTGGAAAGTGACACACTTCCCCCTGGGCTTGCTTGTCCACTTGTCTTCCATTCTGGACCAGCGGCGGGCAGCATTCCTGGTCCTGGAAAGGCTCATTTCACTCATTCCTGCCTTCCTTGTATTTTGTTTTGTACCAGAATCGGCCTTATTTTTCCATTAGTTTATTAATCATTATTTCAGTTGTACCAATTCATGGAGTACAGTATGAAAATTTCACGCTGAATTTATATAGTATGTAATGATTGAATCAGAGTAGTTAACATATCTTTTGCCTGACACTAAAAAGTTTTGACAAAAATAATTAATACATTTCCAACCCCTTGTCGTAACTCTGCATTTGAACCTTTCAGCTGATTTCCTCTTATTACTTATAAAATATATAATAGGTTGTTTTAAACCATAGTTATATTAATCTACAAACTGACTATTTTTAAAAGGCTATTATTCACAAGACACAATAGGAACATAGCTGTCTATAATAGTATCCAGCATTAGTCTCACATCAATATATAATATTCATTAACTATCCTGTTTTATTATTAATACAAATTGTACCTCAGTGGTTTTTTAATATAGTAATGGTGTGCCCTGATGCACTATATATTTTCACTATTGAATAATAAATACTTCCTTAATTGATCGATGGATGCTTTTGTTAATCTACTGATAGTGATAGGAAGACAAAATGCAAACACGAAGGTCAACATCGAGACCCTCAGCTACCCACTGCATCCCGCTTGTGCTGGACATCTAAGTGAGACATTTCATCCGTCACCTCAGGTCCATACCACACAGTCACCACTGCAATGTTTGACTGCATTTTTCTCATGTTGGACATTAAAGTCTAGGCACATATAGTTCCAGTCAAGACCATAGGCCCATGGTTTGGTCTCCTAATTTTTTTTATTTTTGCTTCTGCATTTTTGATAATTAATTAATTAGAATAAAATAAAAGCGTGATTCACCAAAAACTAAAGAATATGATGCTTTACAAATCCAAAATCTGCCTATTGGCTCCTTTTCTGCACTAGACTATGGGTCTTTCATTAATCAGTATCTGTATGGCTCACAATCCTAGTAAAAATGACATTCTCTGTCACGTTTATTATTAGGCCGTGGATAATTGTGATTAATTTACAAATGCTAACAATACTGTGATTGCCTTTAATCAAGTACCCAAACGAGGAAAAGAATTTTGGCTCTTACCCACAGTGGTTTCTTTCCAGCCTCAACGGTGTCCTACAAAGTTGTAATCCTGGCAGAATTCTTACACCAGCTTCACACAGCCATTTGAAGTGCACAAGGCAGAAAAGATCATAAAAACAGAAAGACATGATCACCACTGATCTATATACTCAATCAGTCATCCACATCCTCATTTTGGCTTTTGTTAGTTTATAGTAAGATTTATTTATTTTTCTCTTAATAAGATAAACGTCAAACTTGCAATAGAGCAAGAACAATAACTATTGTCTACACTTGTCTGTGTCTGTCATCCTCAGTAGAAGAAAAAGTACACTTGACCAATTCACTATTTTTTATTTGGATTTATTATTTATCAATCTGCATTGATATTCATTTTTCTTTCTATATATTTTCGTACTGATCAGTTCTTCACGCCTTTCATCTGTTTGTGTTCGTACATTGTTTATTCATCCACCCGTAGTTCTTTCACTGTAACACCACTGAAATCCATGAGGAGAATGATGAAACACGAGAGTCTTCTATATCCTGACCTCTGAACATAAGATGCCTTCACAGGGGAGATACACAGCTGTGCTGCACCTCAGAGCTCCAGATGCATGGTGCTCATCATGTGGGACTCACCAGCAGCCATAATCATTGGTCCAGACTGGCTCTCTTTCACCTTATACTAACATAGATTGGTCTACTCAGCAATCCATTAATAAAAACATATGCACAAATCACAAAATGCAAGGATAATGACCATAAAGATCTGCAATATCCACTGAGGATACACTGTATCACAGACTAAGTTCATCCATTACCATCCTTGCTGTTGCATGCATACAACAATCACTCAAATGCTTTCATTCATCTGATATTAAAGATGGAATGTGTGGACATTTTAGATTATAGATATATTTTTTAAATACACTGGATACTAGTTTTAGAAAATAAACTCCAATAAAGAAAACAACATTGACTATATCACTCACAATGGTTCAAGGTATCATCCAGAGAGGCAGGCAACGGACTTCTGTAGAGCGCATAAATCACATAGATAGCATCCATTCTGAGGAGTACAGAACAGGACAGACTATGAAAAATAAGACACTCCTCCACTGACCTTTACTTACCATCTTCCATTTAGTCATTTATTTAGGCAATCATTATGTGAAATATATTCATCTCATTTTCTTTGACATGAACAACTGTGACCTGACCCCAAGAGCATAATAACTGTCTACATTTATACTGAGTACATATCTCTTAGCCAAAAGTTAATAGTCACGGGGAATTTGCCTCAGGGTGTTTGATGTATACAGCATTTCTTGCTTCATTGAGTATTTTACAATTCAACAATGCTTTACCTGCTTTAACTTCATTGATTTCTATACTTATTGACTAATTTATTCATTGATCAAATTGGACTGAGTATGAAACACTGGACATTGAAATCAAGTCTCTTTTTGGGCTGGACCTCAGAGTTTGGGATACACATGCATTCATCACCCCTGACTCATTCGCCACTGTTGGTCACTATGGATCCAGGACTGCCCTTCTGATTCTCCCTTCCTTTCCACCTTGTCTGTTAATTCATTGATAATTATTGAAAATTCTATTAGTGAGAAAACTACCAGAAATTGTCTTCATATTCAGCATCTTCATGAAGGACCATCTCTAATTGATGTGTCTTCTCTAATAACTATCCTGAGATTTCACACATCCAATTCAATGTACTATTTAATACTAGTTCTGGTTATAACATCCTCAAGTGATGATACTTCACACTTTTTAACAATGTAGTCAGTACCCTTAAACAATTCAACTGAAATCATGACAAAAAGCACACTACTCACATTGGTCCCCAGTTGTAGCACAGTGAGGAAACTGTCCCTGGCTGACCCTGGAGGAATGAGAAGCCCTCAGGAGCATCCATTCTGAGGAGTACAGAGCAGAGCTGGGGATACAAATGGCATTTTCCTCCACAAACCCTGGGTACCACAGGTATCTTTTATCCTGGACCTCTGAATTGCAGGCAGATTTTACTCATCACATGACACTCATACACTGGTAGATATCATCACTGGTCCAGGAAAGGCCCATTTGTCTTCATTCTTATCTACATTTTGTATTGATGAATCCATTGAATCACTAATATTTTTTAAGGCTTAAGATGCAAATACACTCAAGAGGAATATAGCTATATCTCTGGTATCTGGGATGATGTTCACAATCTCATTAATTATGTTCATCTCCTCATTACATGCATTAATCAGTAAATTCATCTGAATCCCAAATTGACACTGGATACAGGAGGTCGATTATAAACATATTTTACTGTTTTTGAAAACAGGATCTTTCCCTAAAACCACCCCAACCAAGACAAGAACTATGAGTGTTGCTCACATTGATCCCAGGCTCCTTATAGAGAAGCAGCATTGAGTGCTGACCTTGAAGAATTCTTCCTCAGCTCAAAGAAGTGGAGTGGCAGGACCATAGAGTACAACAGATTAAAAAAAAGAAAGAAAAAACTGAGACATTTATTCCATGAAGCCTTGGATTTCACATTTCATTTGAAAGTAAATATTTTTTTCTCTTAAGAAATAAACAAATTCATGATTGTCACATACCAAGAGAATGAGCATTATCTGAGACCAACACTACCTATGTCCTCCTTAGCCAAAGGAAAAACAGTCATGGAACACTATTGCTAAGTGGACTTCAGTAACAGCATTCCTTCATTGCTCATATATTTTTGTAATTAAATAATGCTTTGTTAATAATTGTTTGATTCAATTTAATTATAATAACAGAAGCAAAATGTACAGACATAAATGTGAAAATCATGATCCTTGGGTAGTTCTAAGTACGTGAAGAGGAACTTCTACCAAAAAAATGGTGTACATCACTTTTTACTTTTTAGGGTATTTTATTTTTTGAGACAGGGTGTTACCAAATATTTCCATTAGGCTGGTCTTGAACTCACTATGTAGCATGAACTGGTTGGAATTCTCTATTTTCTTTTTTTTTGGTACCGAGAATCAAACTCAGGTCCTTGCGCTTGCAGGGCAGGCGGCGGAACTATTGAGTTAAATCCCAGACCCCCATGGTTAGAATTCTCTATCCTCCTAACTCAGCTTCCTAAGTGCTGAGATTACAGGTGTGCACACACCTGCCATGTAACATTACTTTTGTGGGACAGAAATGTTTTCTTCTGTGAAGGACACATGTGACACTAATTTGCCTAAATTTCATATATTTCTACATTTTTTGACTAAGCTATTAATACATAGTAATAAAATAACAAGATGGTTCCCAATAGCCTAACAAATCAAACTTCAGTCTAGAGACCTCTACTGCACACGAGACTATATGTCTTTCATTAATCAGCCTCTACATGGCTCATGATCAATTAACAATCATAATGTTCTCCATTGAATTCATCATTAGGCATTAGCAACTTTCATTCTTGTAATTTATATGGCTGATTAGTATTGCACTGTACATAACAACTTCATTTTCTTTATCCATTCATCAGCCAATGGAGGCTTAATGGATTCAGAAAATGGCTCTCTATGTTGGAGAATGTGAACAGTGCTGCAGTAAGCACAGGAGGACAGGTGTCCTTAGAGACATCAGTATACTGTCTACAGCATTTATATCCAGTGCTAGACCAGGTGGCCCATAAAACAGGTCGACCTTTAATGTATAAGGAGCTTCTACACTGCTCACACAGTGCAGTAAAGCACCTTTCACCAATGGCAGGCAAGAGTCACCTGTTTCCACCTCCTCTCCAACACTTGTGATCTTTCCTCTTTTTCCTAATGCTCATGTTTACTCGAGTGAGGTGATATCTCCTGGTGGTTTTGATGTCTATTTCCTTCATGATTAGTGGTGTTGAGATTGTTTTCATATACATTTTGGTCATCTGTATGTCTTCCTTTGAGACATAGGTATACTGCCCATTGTTTAATTCAGCTCATGTGTTTCTTTTTTGCTACTGAGTTAAGGTCCCTAATGTACTATAAGTATTCCCCCTTGTCATATATTACTCAGCCATAAAAATGATAAACTCTTATAATTTATAACAGGGATGGAACTGGACATTATCTGGTAAGGGTGGAATGGGGACAGATAGTGAGGAGGGCAGCGAGGAGGGGAGAGACCGAAGTCCCGCTGTGGTGTGGCACACTCAGGTGACAAAGGGAACAACGATGCAATGTGTCTCTAGAAAAGTCACAGAAATTGATGTTAAATGTGTGATCCATGTAAAAGATAATTGGGAAGATTCATATTTAACCTATTATAAACATGACACTATGGATACATATATCAGAGCAGGGCTTGGCACCTAATCATCATGTATAATTTTTATGTTTTATGTATCAATTAAAATGAAATAAAGAAAATATCTATTGCTCTTTTGCTTTCTTTCGTTTTTCTAATCTACTGTGAAAACCATCAATTATGCATTTCATTGACACTGTTTTTTTAAAAAACTGAAAATGAGTAAGTGTGTAGATTCTATTTGAGCTCTGACTCGCGATGATCTTGGAGATGACACAGAGGGTTCACAGGAAGCCTGGGTCCGAGGGACTTCTTACACCAACTCAGGGCTTCCTTCTAAAGCGGGCCACACAGAGAAGGGGTAAGAACACCGAGACAGTCTCTCCAGGGATCCATATTTTTACCATTCATTAGCACAATCTTTTAAGCTTTATCAGTATATGACAATAATCATTAAATTTCTTCTCATTAAAATTAACTTCAAATTCACAATTGATATACAGCAAAAAAAAATTTTTTTATCTTGGAGACAAGATCTCGCTAGATATTTCAGGCTGAATTTGAACTCACTACGTAGCCCAGGCTGGCCTGGAACTTACAGAAATTCTCCTACCTCAGTCTCGATGGGCCACCACGCCCAGCTGATATAGAGCAAAAATTAATCATCATCTATCACTGTTGGGCTGGGGATGTAGCTCAGTGGTTCCGGCACCTGCCTCGCAAGCACAAGGTCCCGAGTTTGATATCCAGTACCAAAAAAAAAGAATCTATCACTGTCGATGTCATCCTTAGCACAATATATAACCTTTATAATGAACAATCTTTCCCCTTCTTAACCTCTGTTAATTCTACACTTTATTCTTTTACTTTAACATTTTTAAATTGATGGATACAAATAACAAAAAAAAATCTTTGCCTATCTGGACATCTGTCCACGATGTCCCAATGGAAAAGCAGAAATGGACAGAATTCCCTTCATGTTGGACACAGGCTGCTCCATCATGCATGACTCACAGGACACCAGATGCCATCATCGGTCCAGTGTTAGCCCGCTTCTTCCTATTGCCATCTGAACTGCTATCACAGAGAGCCCATAAATCCCAAAGGACAAGAAAAATACAGATAATACCCTAACATCTGTCTATACATATGTTGGGCAAAGGTAAAGTCCCCTCTTTACTGTCCTCACTGTTTCTATATAGAACCATCACTATAAAGTTTTTATTATTCTGATATTAAAATTGACATGTTTGGACTTCTTTGATAGTATTCAATAGCTTTAATAAGGTAGTAAATACCTTTTCAAAAGCAACCACAACACAAACAACAAGGTTGACATTTACTCACCATTGTCCAAGGTATAATCCAGAGAAGCAGCAATGGGCTGGTGACCGGGGAGGAATATGGGGGTCCTCATGGGGGGTCGTCCTGGAGCCTCCATTCTGTGGAGTACAGACCAGAGGATACAAAATAACAATTGCCTCCCTGACCTTTGCTTACAATCTTTCATTTAGTGGTTCATTTAAACAATCATTATTTCCAGTGTTTTTATTGCATTGCCCTGTGAAATGCACATCTGTGACCTTGAGCCCAAGCACAGCGTCTGTCTACATGTAAGCCAAGTATGTGGTTCTTAAGCAAAGGGCCAGGAAGCACGTAACGTTTACTTGTCCTGGGAATTCTGTATTTTCCATGTAAACTGACAGAATTTCTTGCCTCATTAAGTATTTTTATAATTGGACGATGCTTTACCCAATTTAAATTGGTTTCTTTGTGTATCATTGCTTGATCTTTTTATTGATCCAATGATAGGAACAGTATGAAATGCATGAACATCAAGATTCTTTTGAGCTGGACTTTGACTCAGACGCCATTGATGATGGTCACCATCAATCCAGGATTTGCCCTATTTTTGTCCTAGTTTTTCTATCTTTCTACATTTTTTGTTAATTTGATTATTAATTCACAAATAATGAGTTTAAACTCTAGTATTGAGAAAAATTCTAGAAACAGTGCTGCTGTACCTAAGTCATGTAAATGTGTCTCCTCCCATCAATATGTCTCCTTCAACAACTATCCTGAGATTCAAACATGCATTACTTGATATTTTACTGCATACTAATTCCAAACTTGTCTTTCTTGATATTTCCCTATTGTGGTCACTTCTCATTTCTAAACAAAATCACGAGTAACCCTTAAACAAACAACATACACCATGACAAGATCTTTACTACTCACATTGGTCCCGAGGTTTGATGCAGAGATGTGACCCGGACTAGAAAAAGGAGAAGTCCCCTGGGCAACGTGCATTCTGAGGAGTCCAGAGCAGAGGATGAAAAGTGACACATTTCTCCTGAGACGCCTGTTCACCCCTTATCTTACGTGGTGGACCTCAGACATGCAGATTCGTATTACTCATCATGCCCTTCAGACTCCTACACTGGCAGATAACGTCACTGGTCCAGAAAAGGCCCACTGCATTCATCCCTTTCTTTTGTTTTGCTGCTTATTCCAACCAACATTATTTTCCAATGTTTTATTAATTATTATAAGTTGGCCAAATTTATAGGGAAGAGTGTTAAAAATTCTGACTTTTTATAGTGTGATTCTCAAATCAGTCATTAACAAATGTTTCATCTGAAGCACTTTTTACATTTTTGATTCATACGTGATAATCACATGAATTTCTGTGTGTGGTGTCCTTTCAATACGTTCACACAATACACACTGTTCAAATCAGAATAATTAATGTGTTTCCATCCACCTATCCTTAGTTTTCATTTGGAGTTCTTTGCTTACTGTTATTTATAAGATATATAATGGGTTGTTGTGAACTATAGTCATAATTGTCTATGAATTAATTAATAATATCTGCAAAAGTTTATTGTTCACAAGCCCACCATGTGCATAACTAGCTATAATATGTATCCAAAATGATGCTCATGACAATATATAGCTTTCATTAAATGTGCACTGATTACAGTAGTTCTCATAGGATCCTTTTTTATGTGTATTAAAGTAAAGTGAGTTGGCCTAAATGAACTACCTTCCTCGAGATAAGAATTATGAGTGGTATTCACACTGATCTCTGGGTTCTTCCCTCAGCTCAGACCGGTGCACCGAGAGAACCATGGCATAGAACAGAGGATGAAAACGAAGAATTAAAACTGAGAGATTCGGAGCATGAACACTGCCGGAAATCTCCCTGCCTTGTATCACTCTTAGCTAAAGAGAGAAAAGCCAGGGACATTATCGCAAACTGGACTTCAATACTTTTCTCATATAGTAAAAACACTATTTGCATCAGTTTACATTTTTGTAACTGAAAATACTCTGCTAATTGATTGGTGCTTTCATTCATGTAATGATAATGAAAGAAGCAAAATATACAAATACAAAGATTCTTGGATATTCCTACCTTGGTCTAGATGAGCCCTTGTAACCAGAAAATGGCCTGGATTAGTTAGGCCATCACTGCATAGACCCACACAGCTTGTCATGCAATGGCTCAAATGACATCAGCCTACATCATCAGACCATGTTTTGCCCTGATTTCATTTATTCCTACATTTATTTTGAGTAAGTTATCAATTAAGGTATAGCTATGAAATAACAATGATTCCAAAAACATGGTACTTGAGAAAACTAACATTTGTCCACAGAATCCTTTTACACATCTTACTGTGTATCTTCCATTGACCAGCCTCCTTGGGGCTCATGATTAATTAATAACCACAATATTTCAATCATATGCATTATTAGGTTTCTATTAATTTAATCTTTCTGGCTAAATAGTATTCCTCTGGGCCGGTCTCCTGAATTTTCCTTTTCCATTCATCACAGATAGATACTTAAGTTGAACCCTTGGTGAATCTTGGTGAATGAGAGTGTGCTGTGATAACCGTGACCATGTAGCTATCTGTTAGGTTTACTGCTACCAAGACCTTGGATCTGGACCTAGTAGTGCAATGGATGGAACAGAGTGGCAGTTCCGTGTTAAGTCTGGAGGCATCCCACACTGTTCGCACAGTGGCTGCACTAACACACCTTCCCACCGACGGTGTGCAAGAGTCGCCTTTCTGCACAAGCTGCTCAGAGCCTGTCTTTTGTCTTCTTGGTAACAGCCATCCTCACTGGAGTGAGCTGACCTCTCAGGTGGTTTCCCTGGTGATTAATGACACAGAACATTTTTTTTCATGTCATTTATGTATCTTCTTTCAAGAAATATCTGTTTAGATCTGTTGCCAATATTTTTATTCTACTTATTATTATTATTATTATTTTGCTATTTATTTCTTTGAGTTGCTAATTTATTCTGGGCAGCTATTATAGGTATTATGCCTGTTTGAAAATTTTCAGGCATAAAAAGAGAATAAAATCTTGCAATTTACAAAACATCAATAGACTTGGACACAATTACGTTAAGTGAAATAAACCGTGAAGAGAAAGAAAAGCACAGGATGATTTCTCACACACATGAAATATAAAAGCTGATCTCCTGGAAGGGGGTAGGAAATGGGAGCTACCAGATGCAAGGGAGAGGAGAGCGGAGGGAAAGATGGGGGCAGGTCAACCAACTGGTAAGAAGAGACAGCTCGAATTCAGAAATTCCATGTTCTGTATCCCTCAAAAACCAAATGAAAGAAACACTAGATGTTTGAATCATGCAGAAATGCTAGCTGATGGGGAAGCTGACATTTATCCCGATTAATCCTACATGATATATACATGTGTCAAAGCATCACAGGTATCCCATTATATGGATGCTTTTGATGATTTCCTGAATCAGATAAAATAAAACAAAATAAAGAAAATATCTAGTGATTTAGTTCCAAGCTCTCTTCTTTTGTGCTTCCAATTTGCTGCTAAAACCATCAGTCAATGTTTCATTTTTAGTGTATTTTAAAAATATGGAAATAAATACTTAACTAAATAAGTTCTAATAATATTGTGAATATCTTTCATCAGGTACCAAAGGAAGATAATTTCCGGCGGTGACTCGCAATGCTCCCTCTCCTCATACAAAGCGGATTCTTACCCCGGCCCAGTGCTCCCTGCCGAAAAGGACCAAGCAGAGCAGGGGGAAAGCATGAGAGAGTCTCTCCAACAATCATATTCTTCACCATTCATTAGCATTGTCTTTTAGGCTTTTATCAATTATTATAATATTTATTCATTTTCCTCTAGTTCAAAAACTTCAAACTTAGAATAGGCATAGAACAATAATTCCCTATTACCTATTAGTTTATGGCCTCCTTCATCCAAGATCTAATACACTTGATAAGTTTCTTTCCTATCCAAGTTCTAATACATATTAACAAATATCTAACACTTCTTAGCCTTACTATGTTTTAGTAATAAACAGCTCCTCACCTTCTTTACCTCTATATATTTATACAGTATTCATTCTTCCCTTTATTCTTTTAAATTAATATATTCAAATTTATATTTACATTCATAATGTCTATAACATCCTTCAGGCCCATCTATAGATCAAGTTACATGTAACAGTCACCATAATGCGTCTACTAATCTGACGCTACCCTTGGCATCTGCGTACATCTATGATACTATTTAACAGTGTAGTAAATACTTTTCAGAAAAGCAACTACAACACAGATGAGATTGATGTTTACTCACCATTGTCCAAGGTATAATCCAGGGAACAGCAATGGGCTGCTGAGCAGGGTGGGACTGGGGCCTCCGGGAGCCTCCATTCTGAGGAGCACAGAGCAGAGCAGAGGACACAAACCACACTTTCTTCCTTGACTTTTGCCTCATTATCTCTCATCATCTTTCATTTCAAGGGACTTTTTATGTCACTGTCCTTGCCCGTGTCCTGCATGTGACCTTGCCCGCAGAGCATATCAGTGTGGGCCTTTACATGAAATGCATGATTTAAGCCAAAGGGCTCCACCCATGCACTCTGTATTTCAGTGTTTTCAACGCATGTTAATAGAATTTCTCGCATCCTTGCATATTTTTATAAATGGACAATCTCTTGCCCATTCAATAGTCATTGATTTCTTCATTTATCAATTCACCAGTTTTAGGAATTCATTGGAGAATAACAAGAAACATGTGAACATCAAGCACGACCAGGTCTCCTGGGCTGGATCTCAGAGTTCCAGGACAGGTATTCATCGCCTCTGACTCATACCCCACAGGTGGTCATCATTAATCCAGCCCCGGTCCGCTCTGAACTTCCCTTCCCCACAGTTCGGTGGCTTCATCATTCGTGTAATTGAAAGCCTAGTATTGCTAAATGCTCAGAAAGGCCTCGATGCCTCTCATCTATGTCAATAATCATCACTTAGCAATATGTCTCCTTCAGGAATTAATATCAGGTTTCACACCCTACTTTTTATTAATTCTGCATTTGTCATTATTACATGTGGCCTAAGGTAACCATATTCCACACTATCATAGTGCAGTAAATAAGCTTAAACAAATCCCCTAAACCACAAAATCTCTCTCACCACTACTCACATCTGTCCCAGGCTCCACCACATGACACTGTGGCTGGCAACCTTGGAAGAACACATCCATGTCCTGGGGAGCATGGTTCTGAGGAGAACAAGCAGAGTAGAAGATGAAACACGATGCATTCCTCCACAGAGCTCACCCACCTGCCCACTATGTGGACTCATGGATTATTCACCATGCAACACCCACACACAGCAGGATCATCACTGGTCCAGGGAAGGTCCAATATCCCTTCATGCATATCTACATTGTTTATTAACTATCCATTAAGTCATTCATAATATTTCTAAAAGCCTGTGATTCACAGGCACCCAATAAGATCAGAACTGTCACATGTGTCCAGAATGGTGCTCACAGCAATATACAGCTTGCATTAATTATCCTCAGCTTTTGATAACATGTGTCACTCAGTGTAAAGATTTATCTCTCTGCCAACTTTACACTAATTACAAGTGGCCTCACATCATTAATTTATCAAGTAAAGCTCACACACGACATAATTTTACATCCTGCCATACATAGTCCATTGGACCACCTCGAAACAAAGGAACTAGACAGGATCCTGGCTGTGCAGGACCTTAGTTCCAGACACATGGCACTCATCAAATACAACTCACACGCTACCAGCCAGCATCACTGGTCCTGATTGGCTGTCCTTCTCTATTACCAACTACATTTATTGGTTCATCAAAAATGAACAAACACCCAATAATAAATGTAAACGAATTGTATACCTAAAATGTACCAATAAAATTAATTTAAAAATAAAAAAAATGAAATACACTAGAATCTAAAAATATGAGATGTTAAATATTATTAAAATCCATCTCCACAATCATTTCCACAGAGCCCCAAATTCTTTCATAAACCATGCTCTGCATTTCCCATATGGGCCTTGCTGTAATGTTTAATATCAATCAGATATTTCACATTGACGTCCCCCCCCTTTTTTTTGGTACCGGGGATCAAACTCGGGACCTTGCACTTGGCAAGGCCGGCAGAGGAACCACTGACCTAAATCCCCAGCCCCATTTTCCCCTTTTTTGGTTAAATTTAGTACTTTGAAAAAATATAGCAAATGCCTTTCAGAAAAGTGAAAACATGACATCATTATTACTCACATTGGCTTTCATGTTCCTAACACAAAGACGTAACCAAGAGCTCCAAATCATAGAGGAACGTGTAAATCAGCTCCAAAGCTGCAAGTTTGGGCTTTACAAAGCAAATTGGATCATTAAAAAATGAGACATTTCTCCTTGGTTTTTGCTTAACACCTTTGTTTTTGTTGGTCATTGAAGAAGTCATTGTTTGGAGCATATTTCATTTCTTTTGGTAAGAAAACAAACTACTTCTAAGTTTCTTTGACATAGATGTTGAACATTATCTATTAATTATACTGTCTACATCATCCTTAGTCAAATATTTTACAATAATTGAACATTTATTTCCATTGAGTTGTCAACAATTTCTCTGCAATATTATCTTGCCTTACCACTTATTTTATAATTAGGTAATTCTTTCTATATGAATATATGTTATTCTATCTATCCAAATATAATGAGAATAAAAATGAATGAGCATACAGATAAAAACCATTTTTATATCACTGACACCTGTCTAATAGGATCCGTTCAAATGGAGAACAGAGATTGCATTTGTGAAATATCTGGGAGCTCTAGGCACACACTCATCATCTGTGACTCATGCCACAGGAACGTCATTATGGATCCAGCCTTAGTCCTCTTTTCCCAGTGATTTCTGCTTTGTCTATTGATTAATTCACAAAACTCAAAGAGCATTGTTATTTCTTTCTTTTGAGACAGGCTCATGCTGGCCTTGAATTCATGCAATCCTCCTGCTTTAGCCTCCTCAGTGCTAGGATTATGGCTGTGCACCACCATGCCTGGGTTTTTATTTCTAATTTGTATATAAAATCACTTCAACATTGATATATCTGTTTCATTAATTATTGTTTCATATATGCATTATCAATACAATACGTCATTACTAAGCAGAGATGGTGATATACACCTGTAATCTCAGCATTCTGGGAGGCTGAGGCAGGAAGTTGTAAGTTGGGGCCTATCATGGGTAATTTAGCAACACAGACACATAACAATAATAATAATAATAAGTGCTGGAAATAGTAATAATGATTATGATGATAATAAATAATAATAATAAAAAGTAGCTGTGCACTAAGGCCCCAGGTTCAATCTCCAGTACCACACATATACCAAAAAACACTACATATTACTCTCCTATTGATCAGTGGGATACAGGTAACCACCTCTGATTATGTCCCATACCTTTTAACAATACAGTAAATACTCTTAAGCAAACCACACAATCAAGACAGAAACACTGTTACTCACCCTGCGTGCAGCACCCGCTCCTTCCAGCAGGTGCAGACAGCAGTTGAGCGAGGAGGGGCCCTGTGGCCCTGCAGTCTGCGTGACATGGCCACTCTGAGGGGCAGGGCAGAGAAGGGACAACAAACCTGAGGCCGACTCTAAGGAACTTTGCCTGCCCTTCCTTAGTCCTTCGGCAATCTTTTGTCAATATACTTCCTTCATTATCAAAACGAATAGTTTCAATGTTGTTTCTGTCCAAGACATTAAACATATTCATGTTTAATTTATACTATGACATTATTAGCCAAAGAGATGAGAGGCATCTCTTTGGACATCACTGTTTTTCATATACATATTAATATATTTCTTGTTTCAACACATTTTTATAACTGGACTAGACTCAGGCATTTTATGTATTTTATATGACTGATAGTTTATTCATTTCTACATTGACCCAGTTATAAAAATACAATCAAAACATGAATTAAAAAAACCAAATGCATTCTGTTTTTCTAAAATCCACCTGCAGGTTCATTTGAAACAAAGGACTGGACCAGATGCCCTGTGTAATGGACCTCAGAGTTCCACACATGTATTCATCGTCTACGATTCATACGCCACCAGGAGTCATCACTGATCGAGAACTGGTCTTTCTTTCTTAATAATTATTTCTATGTTGTCTTTCTATTCATGAATTTGTTAGTAATAATTTTCAAGCCTATGATTCACAAAAACCCAAGGGAACACTTGGTATTCTTATCTGTATCTAGAAATCATCCAAAAATCACTGTCTTCACTGATTATCTTGTTTTCTCATAGACATTAATCACTGTGATGCTTTTTACCAACCCTGTATTTGTCACTGAACTTCAATTAATCTTTGGTTACACTTCACACTTTTCAACAATAGTGAGTGTCCGTAAACAGGTCACCCAAACCAAGATGAGAACTCTGATGACACTCACACTGGTCCTCAGGCTCCTGGGTAGCTGTCATCAGGGAAGCAGCCTCCAGCCTCACACACATCCCCTAGGGTTATAAACAGTACAGTCACAGAGATCAAGATTTCACATCTGCTTAGTCCTCCTTTTAAAATTTATTCATTCATTTTTGTTAAGATATATTTTTGTTAAGATATATTTTTCTTAACCAAAACAACTCAAACTTAAAACTAACCCAGAGCAATAAAATTGACTGAGATAAAGCCTCAGTATTTCTTCTCCTAACAAATGAATGCAGTGCTCACCACTGACTCCGAGCAATAATATTCACTGTTACTTCTCACTACCTATATGTGACATGGCCAGAGAGGTACCTCCCAAGATTTACTTAGTTATGGACGTAAGTATTCATAGCCATGGCAAATGTTTAAGCCAGCTCAGAGCATTCATGAGGAGGGGTACAAATAATGCAGGTAGTAGGATAGTGAGACACTGTTTCCACCACTAAATGCCTTTCAAATTCCATTTTGTTAGTTATTTAAATGCTTATCATTATGTAGTGTGATTTATTTTCTTTTTCTGTTAAGCAGAAGAACACGTGAACCCAAGCATACATTACTGTTCTGACTCACTGCCCTGCCCACTGAGACATACCCCAAAACGCAAGCTCTTCAGTTGATGCTAACTTAGTAAGCTCCAGGGGTACCAAGTTATTATTAATAAAAATTCTTACCTTACCACATATTTTCATGCTCAGATATGCTTCACTCTCTTCATCTTTACACACTCCTGTATTTATTTATTCTTTCATTTATTGACTTTTAATAATAAAATCAAAATCTATGAAGCACCAAGGACTGAAAACGTGAGGCTTTAATATCATCAAAAAACTGTCTACAGGCTCATTTCCACAGTGGTAAACACACAAATCCCTGTTTGGAATGGACCTTGGTGGGTCATGGTGTTTTGATTATAAAACTCTGATTCAGAATGCATCCTTTCCCATCACTGGTCCTTTCTTGGTCTTTTCTCATAGAATCTGTATATTCTTTCTGTGTGGAATGGAACCACCATAAAACTCAAACACTGACAAGTCCTTACATCTACCAGCTCCTTCTGCATAATACAAACAGCTTAAACCTCTATCCCTTAAGGAACATTTAGGGGAGATCTAAAAGAAAACGTTAAAGGCTTTTAAAGATTAGTGACATAGACTTGATCTGTTAAAAAATAATCCAAATGCAGAATCTTATTAACCAGAAACTTTGCTTCCTTGTTTTTTTATGCGCTTACATTTCTTGGAAATTATTCAGGCACATTGTCATCTGTTTTTTGAAGTATGTACAGGGAACACCTTTAAAAACTCACATTAAGAATGAGGAATTTAGGGCCGGGGATTTAGCTCAGTGGTTTCGCCGCCTGCTGTGCAAGCGCAAGGACCTGAGTTCAATCCCCTGTACCAAAAAAAAAAAAAAGAATGAGAAATTTTACAGGTGTATTGGGTTCTAAACTCTTAAACCTAAAGGTAAACTAGAGAGCTTGGTCTTTTTAGGTACATCTATTGTGTGCAATATAGAAATGATGTTACAAGAATGAGATATTTTCTCCATGGCATCACAATTTTCTTCTCTGATTCACTTAATTTTTAAATAATTATTGATTAGTAAAGTTGATCCTAATCACAGAGCCCATGAGATTTCATGCTATCCCTTTTTCATTTATTCAGACCCTTAAATATTTGTAAGACAGTATCACGATTAACTTGTTTATCTAATTTAAACCAAAATACTTGGAAAATATCACTGTATTAGTCACTTTTCCATCACTGGGACAAAAATACCTGATATCCAAAATTTACAGGAGGAAAGGTTTATCTTGGCTCATGGTTTTCAGAGGATTCAGTCCATGGTTGAATGGCTCCAAGGCAGAGACAGCATGACCGAAGGGGACAGAGGAGGAAAGGT